TTGAACCTTTGTGGAACTTTTATCTGCTATTATTATGGTGTGCAGAGCTTAGAGGAGGACTTTAGTTTGGGTAAGATTGGTTCAAAGCAGCCCTTTGAGGCACCTTGATGGAGAGAAGCTTTTAAGTCACAGAATGGCCATCCAGATCCATTTTTTTAGAGGCGAGGAGTGAAAAAGGTCAGTCATACCACCCTGTGCTCTCATCGAAGAGCATAGCGGGCTTGCTCTTTCTTTGAGGCTAGAGAATTCCCTGTGCCTCCAGGCTTGAAATTTGGGGCTTGGACAATCTGGAACTGTGCCTCTTGTGGTCCGATCTAAGCATAGTACACAAAATTGTCTGCTACAATGCCTTGCTTATCAACGACTTCTTCAGCTTCAACCACAATAATACACAGGCAAACAATCAATGCAAACTCAAGGTAAACCACTTCAAACTCAATTGTGGGAAATACGACTTCAGCAACAGAATGGTCAATGCCTGGAATGCCCTACCAGACTCTGTTTTACAGTCTGAAACCCTCACAGGTTCAATCTCAAGCTGCCTACCGTGGACCTCACCCCATTCTTAAGAAGTCTTTAAAGGGAGCGTACATAAGCGCACCGTGTGCCTACTATTTCTGTCTTATTGTCCCCATTTATCTGTATTTACCTCCTTTGTTCATGTTTACGTTCATACCTATACTTGTTAACTTGTACATTTGACAAACAAACAAATACATAAATAAAGGCAGAATGTATTGTTTTGGTGGTGCAATGCATCTTGCCAAACCAAGGCACCTCTGCTTTGCGCATGTCCAGATAAGACGACTGTAATTGTTGCTCATATGTCTTAAACTCTGGGCCCAAGTGTCAAAAGAATTGGAGTCAAATTGCTCAACAAACAAGCAAAATCTAAGAGACATCTCCCACCTTAAGAAGTAAATCAATCAAAGGATTCCATCCTTGTATATCAACTGTGGGATATTGAGTGTAAGGAAAAGAAAGGAAACCGGAATAAAATGTTAGTAGGGAGTGGAGAAATGTGGCTGCTCCAAACACTACACAAATGTAACTTGGAGGTGAATGGATACTATAGTTTCCTCCACCAGTTTCCATTTGTGGTGGTGCTTAAATTTATTTTATATATTTGGCATATTTATATGCCAAGAAATGCCCATCTCTTGAAGGCATTCTGGGTGGCAAACATGTTAAACCTAAACCCTATTTCAATTAAAAAGATCCAGGTCAAGAATGATCCATAAACCAACTCTCCATTCGAGCTAACAAACACATTCACACTCACGTAGAGTGCTATAACGATCCTGCACTTCCTGGGGAAATATTCAAGATTTTAATGGCTTTTCAGAAGGGTTCCAAGTAACAGACCCATAGTAAGCAAAACTCTGAGGCAGATAAGTTCCTCAAAGAATAGTTTTATTGGATATATCATATTGGCAGAGATCAGGTGAAAACCGACTCTGAAGACTCCCACGATTTTCACCTAATTAAAAGTTTTTCACTTTCTCAGAACAATCAGTCACATGGTCCAATTACTGCTCTGTCTGGTTGCCTGGTGACATCACTCCTCCTCCTTCTGACCAAGTGTGAGAATGTCCTTGGTTCCCATGAGAAAGTATTTTATTTTGGCTATGAAGTCCCCACTATTTCAATTCCCACTCCCTATCCCTCAGTTCCAGTGTGGCAACACTGAAGCTCCAAGATGACTTCAGTCATGTTAGCTTCAGGCTTGACACCAGCAAGGTTAGGGCAGTATATATTGGTATATATTGCAACATTCTACAGCAAAAATCCTTACATACAAGCCTGCAAAATAAGTCAGTTGAGTTATTTGTGTTTTGCAGATGTGATCGGGGGATGAAAGGAAGAGCACTGAGGCAGAGGTTGCAACTTGCTTAAAACTATCTAGTGGCCTGTGGAGAAGCCATGCAGTGAACTGGGAGATTTATGGCTCAATGTTCTGTTTCTTAGTCGTGGCACTATTCTTGCTCTGCTAATTAACTGACATTATTTCACTATAAATAGTAAGCAAATGTCTGCAGCCATTAGCAATGCAACCTCCTGTGAAATTGATTATTTGATTATCACGTTATATGAGCTACGTGGCTAAACCCCAGAACCATTTCCATTGGCATTCTTCGAAAAGATAATTGCAGAAATTGCCTCTGAGGAATAGAAATCGCACACACAGGTACTTGGGCTGCTATCTTGATTTTTGGGACATACACCTTATGGATATCTCTGCAATTTAGGGATGAACAAGAACACAAGAAGATCCTTCCTGGATCAGATATATGGTGTGATATCAAAGGGATCAACCAGGTGCTTCCAACAGCTATGATTGAGATTCATTTTGTCATTCTGAAGGTTGCATGTTTGTATCAACCCTGTTATCAGTAGTAGCCATAGATAAGAGTTGACTTCCATTAATTTTATTTTGGTCCCTTTTAAACCATTTGAGATGTGACCATTTTAGGATACCATATTTTCTAAATCATTCATGTCTCTTCCAAGGGTTGTCTTCAAATTTTAGGCCTATGATAGAAGATAATTCACGTTTTTTGGTGCATTTTCCATGGATATATCCTTTGCATAATTGTATATATTTTCACTCCTGCAGCATCATGCATCATGTGTGAACTAACTCCATTGCCCAAATTGTGTTTTTTTTCTCTGATGGTGTGATAGCTTACTTGTGTGATTTAATGAGGGACTCTATCAAGCATCAAGCATGCCAAATGTGAAATGATTTGAAGGAACATCATTCAGATGCTGACTGTATCCCTCAAGAAGAGGAAAGATTGCATGGTAGGCGATAGGGAAAGATCCCATCCTAGTCAAGAGCGAATTTACTATGGGTCCCAATATTGTGCAAATTGAGACAATATGTTTATTTTGTGATTATATGTGTTATGGAATTCAAGCAGGATTGAGTAAACTATAGTTGAGTAAACATGAATTTGCTATTTGACAATATGGATAAAGAACATACAGAAGATGTAAGTTTATATTGCACTAGAGGGCAGGACCATTAGCAAGTGGATTAAAATTATAAGAGGTTCAGGCTACAGATTAGGAGGAACTGCAGGTTGCAGTGCAATAATGAATAGACATTTCCTTATTTTTTTTTAAAATAGAAGCTGTCAGACATCCTCAAGTGGCAAGGGCAGGTTGGCTGCTAAGGTACCTTCCAACTCTGTGATTAGCATCTTCATGTAAACCATTGTGGAAAGTTCAAACTCAGACACAATTTGTGTTGATTGTCACTTGCAAGGTGTACATTCTATGAAGTATATCTTGATGAGCCCCACTTGACTAGCTTCCAGATCTTTTCTGGAGACCTCAAGTGGTGGTTCTTTCATATAAAGCCCCATTTCCAGGTATGTAGTCTCTAAGAAGTGTTATATAAAGCACAGCACAAATATTGTACATCTTCTTAAAAAGCTGGCTGGCATTCCAGGGAGACATACATACTTTCAGGTAAAGCCAGACTGTTCAGACCACTACAGGGTCCTTTTACACACAACCTACGAGACAACATACCTTTATATAAAACCTCCCCCTTTTTTATGTCTATGGAGATCCTCAGTCCTCCAGGTCACGATTGTCCCAAAAGTGCTTTTTTTTCAAGAGGCAACTGGACTTCCTTTGTTTTTCCTTGAAGACTTCCTTGAAGACATCCAAGAAGTTTCTTCTGAGCCACAACCGAAGAAGCTTCTTGGATGAGAAATGAAATGTCTTCAAGGAAAAGCAGAGAAAGTCCAGCTGCTTCTTGAAAAAGCACATTTGGGATCTCAAGCTATAGGTTCTATCATCGAGTATTAGGAAAGCCAAGATTTTTTAAAAAAAAAGGTTTTTACCAGTCTATTTATTAAATAAATAAATAAAAACATCTGATAAATGTCTATGGAGATTCTCAGTCACCCAAGGTCATGGTACTTTTTTTTTTCAAGAGTCAACTGGACTTTCCGTTTTTTCTTTGAAAACGTTTCACTTCTCATCCAGGAAGCTTCTTCTGCTCCCCTTTTATATGTGTGTGTGTGTGTGTGTGTGTGTGGAGGATACAAGAACCCTTAAATACAGCAGGGCAAATGGCAAAGTCCAATTCCTGATCTTGAAGTGCTAGGCAGGATCAGTACCAGCGCCGTTACGTTGCTAGACCATGTCGGACCCATCCAGACGGGCAAGCCTTGCTTGGGGTCGAAGCCTTATAAAAAAGATGTTGAGACTCTAGAAATAGTACAGAGAAGAGCAACCAGGATGATTGGGGGACTGGAAGCTAAAACATACAACGAACGGTTGCAGGAACTGGGCTTGACTAGTCTAGTAAAGAGAAGGACTAGGGGAGACATGATAGCGGTCTTCCAATATTTGAGGGGCTTCCACAGGGAGGAGGAAGGGGTCAAGCTATTCTCCAAAGCACCTGAAGGCCAGACAAGGAATAATGGATGGAAACTGAACAAGGAGAGATTTAATCTGGAAATAAGGAGAAACTTTCTGACAGTGGGAACAATCAACAAATGGAACAGCTTGCCCTCAGAAATTGTGGGAGTGCCATCACTTGAGACCTTCAAGAAGATATTGGACTGCCATATGTCAGAAATGGTGTAGGGTCTCCCGCTTGGGCGGGTGGTGGGGGTTGGACTAGATGACCTACAAGGCACCTTCCAACTCTGATTATCTATTATCTGCCTTCCCGCCTGGGCGCTACTTCAACCCGTGAACCAGCTTGCGGATGACTCTTGGCCTGCCCCCGGCCGCCTCCCCTCTCTCCCCCGAGAGCAGAGCAACCCCGTCGGCTTCTCCCTGCGCAGCCCCGGTCTTCGCAAAGCCAAGGCCTCGGGAGCCGGAGGGAGCTCCGCGGCCCGACGCTTCTCTTTTAAATTTGGCGACAGAGGCGAGGCGCACCTTCCCGCGGCGAGCACGTGACGGCCGCGGAGGCGCGGGGGAGGCGGGCCAAGCGACCCGGGGAGGCAGGCAGGCAGGCGGCAGCATTGGCGGCGGCGGCGGCAGCAGGGCCGGAGGAGGGAAGAAAAAGGGAGGCAGCGCCGGGCAGAGAAGGAGGGCAGCGGACGGAGGCGTCGCCTTTAAATGCTCTCAGCCGGGCGGCGGCGCGAAGGCAGCGCGCGTGGAGCCTCCGGGCAAGGGGAAGAAAATAATAATAATAATAAGAAAAAAATAAAATAAAATAAGAAAGCGCTCCGATGCGTCCTGGACCATGAACAGCCTAGCCGGCTCCGCCGCCCTGCGGGATTCCCTTGCCGCTCCGCCGTCTCTCTGAAGCCCCACTCCGGCTGATGCTTCCTCCTCCGCCAGCATGTCCCGGCGAAAGATCTCCTCAGAATCCTTCAGCTCGCTCGGTTCGGACTACCTGGAGACCAGCCCGGAGGAGGAAGGCGAGTGCCCCGTGGCCAGGCTTCTCTGGAACGGCAGCCGGAGCCCCGCTGCCCAGTCCGGGGCCACCACTCCGGTGGCTACCGTTCCCCCGCCGCCGGAGGCTGCGGCGGCTGCGGCGGGTCTCCCCGGCCCGGTCCCCGCGGGTTCCCGGAGGGCTCCTCGCAGAAGGCGGGTCAACCTCGACTCCCTGGGCGAGAGCATCAGCCGCCTCGCCGCCCCCACGGTAAATGCGCCTTATTTCCCTACCAACACCCACCCACCCCCCACTCCTCTCCCGGGCCGCCGCGATCGCTAGTGCGGGCAAGGCAGGTGGGCAGCCAGGTAGGTAGGCTGGCAGGCAGGCAGGTAGGCAGGCAGGCGAGCCGGGTTGGCGGACTGCGTACGAGCCCATCCGGCAGAAGGAGGAGGCTGACCAGGAGGAAAGGCAGGACGCCCGGCGGGCTGGTTTTGGCGTTGGGAAGGGGGACACGCGAGCTCTGGCTGGCGCCGTCAGGATGATCCAACCTGGGCTCGCTGCGGAAGAGGAGCGCTCGACCCGCCGTTGAAAATCTCGGAGCACCCCGCCCCCCCCTTCGCCCACTCTTTCCCACGATGCGGACTTTCAAAGCGCGGCCACAGGTTGTTGTCCCTCGCGCAGGTGTCCCCCTTGCCCGCTCCCTTCGCCACCCCTGCTGACCCTCCCGGTTGAGTTGAAGGATCTTCCTCTGGTTCCAGATGTTTGGGCACTTGCTCTTCCTGCGGACTCCGACCAAAAGTGGTCGGAAACGTCAGGAATCCCCAGACCTTTCGAAGTATCTCCATCCAGAATTATTTCGGAGGATTCCCTTCTCATGCAGCCTCTGGTTTTCTTTATGGAATTTTCCAAAGGTTGCCCCCTCCCCTCTCCTTATAACCTCATCTTTTCTTGTTGCATTTTCTTTGTTCCCTTCCAAAATTTGCACATCAAGTTCCTTATTTGGGGGGGGGGGGAGAGAAAGGAGGGAATAAATGTCACCTTTAATTGACATCTTTTAATTGGCAGCATTACATCTCTCCAGAAGACACCCAAAGGTGAGGAATGCAAATGCTGCTTTCGGTATTTATTCCAAAAAATTTGATTCTTCTACTGCTCCCTTACCATCCTAAGTGGGATTACTCTCTTGAGAAATCTCCCACATGAACCCTACAGAAAAAAATAAAAATAAAATGAAAAGAAAGCCTGTAAGTTCAGACCGAGTTTTTACTCAATACTTGTGGCACGGAAGTATGACTGTTTCATAGCTTTCCTTCCCAAGCTTCTATTCTGCACAAAAGCTTTCTAGAGAAATCTAGATAATGAATAGCAGAATGTCGGTCCAGATAGGCCTTTTGGTCCATTCTACAGAGCTTTTTCCTTGGTCCTCCTTTGCTGTTTGTAAGACTCCCCATGGCCTGTGAGTGGTTAGTCCAACATACTGTTCTCTGATTCTGCTGTGACACATATAATCTGACTCAGACAGGTTTGTTTATTGTCTTACCATGCTGTAGTGTTCTTATGAGAACACTGAGAGAACATGGCTTAGATGTTTACTTCCCATGAATCATCTTCCAATAGAACACAGCCCTTCTTTTCCTCTTTCCAAAGTTTATTTTCACTTCTTGGATCACAAGGCTTGTTGTTTCCCACACTTCTTATCAAAGATAACTTAAGAATTTTCTCTACCCAACTTCAGCCTTTTACCATAATTGCTGGTTCCTTCTTGTTTCCCTTTTCTCTCCAATCTTGGCTGCTAATCCTTTCATTTATTGGTTCATCCCATTCCAACAGAGATCTTGGAAGGACTCTAATTCAGCTTGATCCTTTCCAGCTGTGGAGTCTTGCATTGACTTCTACTCCTGACTGGAATTATGTTTCCCCCCCACATCATTAAAAAAAGTCTAAAGATGGAAAAGTAATTTGTTTCCCGTTATCTCTTGGCTATTCCATATGGTTTGTGCCAAGCTGCTTTGAATTCTGAACTTGTTTGTTTCTCCTAGGGAAAGAAATGGCCAAATACAGCTTGGTTGCATACTGCTATGTTTTATGTAATGCCATCGGTTTTAGCCTGTATTCTCTAGAGATGTTCATTTATCGTATGAGAAAAGTCCCATGCATAAGAAACTGCCCTTTGCTCTTTTAATTGCCATAGATTATAAACTTGTTCATTGCAACTCTTGTAATTTTGCTCAACAATATCCGATCGTTCCCACCATTTTAGTCCAGCTATTGGTTATTTTTGTGGCTTCAAGACCATGCTACAAAAAGCCAGTATGATTACTTTTAGAAGATGTTGCTAGGAATCTCATCCAGATACCAAAGAACCATAGGAAAGGTTCTAGTTCCTAAGAGAGACATTATCTAGAATACAAAAAAAGGAAGAATCTAAGAAATTATCATAAGAGCTTTGCAGGAAGGAGAGAAGGGAAGTCCTGATTTTAGAATCCTAAAACATGGAACTGAGATGAGTTCTGGAAGGAGTCACTATTTGGAATTAGTAAATATTTATGCTCCTTACAACCAAATGCTGGAGTAAAATGCCAGCCCGTCTTTCTCCCCAAAATACTCTGTTTAATTCTCCCCTCCCATCTGCTTTCAACCCTTTTTGCCAAAAGTTAGCTGATTTTCTGAGTCTGTTGAATGTGCTTTAATTCTCATTGAGTTCCTGTGGGGTTCTTCCTTGCACTCTGTGTGTGTGTGTGTGTGTGTGTGTGTGTGTGTGTAAACCATCTATCCATCCGTCCATCTCTCCGTCCACCCGTCCATCCATCCATCCAGATAGAATATAAGCAGCTGGAGAAGGGCAATTTGGAGCAGGGAAGTAGGAAATGTTTCTGCAACATTTCTACTAATAAGCACTATCACAAGAGCTAAAAATAAAATAGCTACAATTATATGGCACCTATACATAGTTCCAGAATCTGTTGTCGGTTATATAATTCATCCCTGGGATATACTACTGCCTTCTTTGTAAAAACCACTCTATCCCTATTGCAAAGAGGCAGAACTGATAAAACTATGGGGATTAGTTTAATGCTGGTTGCCTGAAGTCATCTGGAAAGCGACCAGATTAGCCCCAGTTTAATGTCTCTCTCCACCCCATAGTTGGCATGCCCTTTTATGGTATATCACTGAGAAATCCCCCAACTATTTACTGTAGTTGGGGAATATTCAACAGTTTCTTGGTTGGATAGGAATCTGAAATCAATCATATTAGAGCAATTTTGATGCACTGACAATGAAAATAAAAACCTCTTTAGATAACTGCGTAGAAAGACTGGAGGATGTATCTTGCATAGCGATCCATAGTGCATCCATCATCTTCCATTTTCTTTTGTGAAGCTTATTGCATGATATTTTATGAAGTACAATACATTAAAGGTGAAATTAGTACCTGTAAAAACTATGAATCAATTTCATTTGGAGTTAAAAGTTGGTTTTTTAATAATCTATGCAATATGATACATGTTGATCGGTTGTGTCCAGAAGTGCAAATGTGACTCTCTCCTGCAGTGTTTGGGTTTTCACATTATTGAACAATGCGTAGTCTTCTCATGACCAACAGATCTTAGATATTTACTTTAAGAGGATCACTGATTTTTTCAATCTCTTTTAGAATAGTTCATGTTGGAGGTAGTAAAATCATGAGGATATCCAAATTTTTAATTTTGAACATGGAGAGAAGCCATTATATATGCCAACAGTAACAAGTTGGTAGCTTAATTTTAATTTCTGACTTCAGACAGACGTATAGTAAATTAGATTACCTTTATTCCCTTCCCTACAAATATAATGGCATTTACACTGACGTTTACTTTTAATTTTGACTTTTCATGAAATATTTTTAGATGAAAAAAAAAAAACTCCAGAAAAAACTTCCAGAAAAAAAGCTCTAGGCCACAAGAAAATTTTCATGCGGTGAAATTTGGATAGTCCCAAGTGGAGTGTGATTTTGGTAAAAAGATATTAGAAATATTTTTAATGCTAGATATGAGAAGTATTTTTTTCAGAAAAGTTGGGTGCAGAATAGATTCACGCATGCTATTTTTGTTAGACCTGAGAAATTGCTGTATAAAACAAACTTATGTACTGTGGGCCAATGTATTGCCTGTAAGTGATAGGAATCTGTGTGATTTGTCATCTGTAACCAACCTCCTGATATTTTGAAAAGATTTGTATCTGAACTTGGTCGTATTGTTAGCCTATCAAAGGAAAGGGTTCCGTTTTGCTTTTGACATTTTCATTCTATTCATGATGACAAGTTTATATTCAATAGGGTACATCAGGAAAGATAAGGAGAATTACCAATGGGTTGAAGACAGAGATAATTTTCTTTATAGCCTGTTAGATAGTTCAGTATAAATAGAATTTCATTAATATTTTTCCCCTCTTTCTGCATAGGCAGACCCACAGCTGATGCTGCAATATTGGATGGAAGAATCCCAACTGACTTTTGTCGTATTTTTGAAAAATAATTAAATTGCTTAATAAAGCAATGGCATGATTTTAGTGATTTTTTTTTTCAACAGCACATTTAAAGAGATTTGAAGAAACATATTATTTCAAGCTCTCTAGCACTTCCAGATTTAGCAATTATATTTTCACACTTTTGGGGATCATTAAGCTAATTGTAACAAGATGATTTTAGAAATACATGTAGATTTTCAGATTCTGGGGAATATTTATATTTTACTGGTAATCTGACAAAGCAAGCACAGATTAAGTCAAGAACATTCTATTAATAGTTGTGGTCTCTTAGTCTTTTTCTTGTTCTACTTCTCAGATTATAAATTGATTTTTCATATTGAAACTGAAACCACAGACTCTTGTAGCCTTTCTTTACAATTTATTTCCATAAAGTAATAGCTATTGCAACTCTCTGTCACTAGAAAGATTTTTTTTGCTACAGCTTTTCATTACATTTAATAACGGATATTTTTTTTAGTTCTTTCATCTCTTAAAATTGCTTTATACGCTTTATGTAGTTTTGAATGCATAAAATGAGCTATTTTTTGTATCATTTGCCGTTCCATATTAAAATATAAAGGATCAAGATTCAAGCTGTGTCCTGCTTTGAAGTGTAGCCTAGGTTGCCTTTTTTGGAAAATTATGGTTTGTAGCGAAGAGAAGGTGATGAATTTTGGACTGTGTCAGGGGTGGGATTCAACCGGTGTTACTACCAGTTCGGCGACTACGTTTTGCGCGCAGGTGCACAGCATTTGAAAAGC